TTCAGATCAAACTATCAACTATCCATTGCTGCGCTATGATCACCATCAAATCGGCAATCATTAACACTTCTGTTTCTCACCCCCACGTACCATCGAAAAACAGGTAAACATTCGCATATCATTTCTCACGTTTTTTTTTCCTTTGCTTTTTTTTTTTGCACACATACTTCCACTTCTTTTTAACTGCAGTAAACTACGGAAAAAAAAGAACCTTTCAACAATCAACACAAAATCGTCCCATATCAGTGGTGGCCTAGTTCATACCTACACTTTTTTCTTTTCCTTGAATTACAAAAATTATGCATTCTAAACTTATCAAATTTAATAATTCTACTAAGCAACATTTCTATTTTTTACTCTACTATAGAATATGCAAATAATTACCAAGCGCATTAATTTGTTCTTGCAGTAAGTTAAAGAACTTCCGATTTGCTCAAAACGCAAAGGTGAAAAATTATTGTAACTTTGTCATCAACAAAGTGATGATTTAAGACATTGGCAGCAAAAAAAAAAAAGAATTGGATGAGTTGAAAAACAAAAAGAACAGAAAACTGAGTGAAATAATGTGATACCAAAACTGTGCAACATTTGCACAACAGGCCGCACTCGACTAGCAAACTCTGGCTAATATCAACATCAGTGTATATCAAATAAAACAATTTATACGGTTGCTAATCAACACGTGAACAGATAACAATCCACTTTCAATTATACACTATATTAACTGCACCAACTACCATCTTTTTCCAACCAAATAATGCCTCCCCCTTAAAAATGGTACTCGTTAATGAACACAAAAGTTAGGTAGCTGAGCACTACCTTGCATTTTATCACAGCTAACATCGCCGCTAACATCAACTAAAAACGCCTAATCACTTAAACTACAAATAATAAGTGATATCAACGCAAAGTACCCATTGGTCGATGCTCGATTCTAGAGCGTAACTACCAATTCCGTTTAAGAAAATAGAAAAGTTACACAAAGATTCCTAATCATAACAATGTCCAGTAAGACTTCAACAAGCGCTCATCAAACCGTTTAACGTCCGTTGAACACCATAAGCGTTTTTACCAGCCAACCCAGTATACGTGGACAACTATTCTAGCTGGTGCTGAAAATCAGGATCTATCGCAATTACCAGAAAGCTTTCTTTCTACTTTCAAGTTACACACCCAAAATCAATTTCTGAAAATGAGAACTATTACGCGTATGTCTCAGAGCCTAAGTGACAAGTCACAAGTTTATGACAAAAACATAAGTTATCACAGACAATACCGATCACAGTAATAAGTTGTACACCATCCCAGAATTAAAAAACACTGAATAGAACTATAAATACGAAAAATTTAGTAAGTTACAGGTCATAAATGAGCAGTAGCAAATGTAACAATTTGCCCTCAAACTTTAGTTTCTCTATTACTCGTTATACCTGCTGAAAAATAAGATACCAATACATCAGAAATAATACCAATAAATAAAGAGGAATAATAAATGAACTTACAAGGGCACATGCAGAACCAATTACAAACAAAGAAAAAAAAAACAGAAGGAAAAAGAAAACGGAGAAGGCAAAAGTTGCAATAACAATAACAATAATAATAATAATAATAATAATAATAATAATAATAATACACTAATAATAGTAATAATAATAATAATCGTAATACTAAGAATCTAATAACAATAACAATAATAATAACAACAACAATAACAATAACAACAACAATAACAATATAAATAATAAAGTATTGTTTTCCTTTCATATATAAACTAATATTTTCTAAATAATAATAATAATAATAATAATAATAAAATCATAGTAATAATAACAAGCTAACGAAATAAAACACTAATGATCATTCTTCTAGATAATTACAATCCTTAAAAATCTGCCGCAACCTCTGAAATTCTTCCACTTGTGAAGTGCCAAGGTCTTCGAAAACATCAGCCAGATAGCCTACAACTTTTTAACAGCTAAAAACCTGATATACGCGATCACTAAAACTACAGTGGTGTTACCTCTCAAAAATAGCAAAGTATGAGAATTTGCAGTAGAGACAAAGATTAAGGATAACAAAAAATACTAACAAGGTTGTACTTCCTGAAATCAGTATCATTTCCTTAATTCAAAAAACTCTACTACGCATACCGTAATCAACTGCAAACTGGCGTCCAGCCGCAGGAGATAATCCAGCAACATCCCCAACACCATCAACAAAGCAATTCTGAACAGAAGATGCACATTTTTCTATCCACCAGGACGCAACATCTTCTAAAAAGAAAAACAGTAAATTTAAAAAAACGTGCAAGTGCTGCAGAAAAAAAAAAAGTTCGAAAAATTTTAGTTGAAACTTACCGACAGAGTCCATTTTAGACGCGGAAGCTAATGAAGCAGCCATATTTGCGTTATGGGAATAAGCAGATAAATGATGAGCTAAAGAAAGCAAAGCTACACCAGCAGCAGTTACGTGATCATTAGGTGACGTACCAAAAGAAGGAACATTTACTTTTACCACAGTAGTTTCTTCCTTATCGGCGCTTTCCGTTTTCTAGAATTTGTAAAGGTCAACGACTCCCTCAACATAAAACTTTGATAAAAAGGCGGAAGCTTTGGAAAAAGAAATTTAAATTTATGAAATATTTAGAAACATTAAACAAAAAGCTACAGTTGCGCCTCTAACCATAATTGAGCGATCCAAAAAAGTAGGATTTAACAAAGATAAGCGTTATATTTAATAACAGTAAAGATAAAGAGACAATAAAAAAAGTCAAAAACTAACAAATTCCTTGAAAACAGCTTCCAGTTCTGCAATTATAGGTGCTGAAAGCCTTTCAATAGCTTTGGCAACTGCTCGTTTATTTAGTTTGCGAAGTTCCGACTGTGACTTCGTGATGCCCAAATCGCAGTCAGCTTTTACTAAAATGTTCGACATATAAATATTCAGTTATGATATTCGGAATCACGTCTGTCATTCCCGCACCAGCACAGTAAAACCAAAAACATGAAGGTAGACTAACCAACTACTTTCCTATCAAATGAATTGACGTCGTCACTTAACTTCTCAGCGAAATTCTGCATAAAATGATCAACTTTCCCAGTCTGATAAGTTTCTAACATTTCTTTTATGCGCCTGCGGTCATGTTCAACCCACAGCATGACTTGACCTAAAGTGATAAGATGTTAATGTTGATGAACAGTTCAGCGAATAACTATAAACACCGTTAAAAATTTAACAGATTTACAGTCACTGCCTAAAAGCAATGGTTAAATAGCACTGTTATTATATAAACTGTTACCCATAATACTCACGAAACGTAATACATCATTGTCCTTAATTGAACTTTTCTCCACATGGGACTTGTAGAACGATAACAAAAGTGATATAACATTTTCATACATCGACTGAAAAAAACTAAATGATGATATTCACTGAGAAGCCAACCCCGTAAAATTTTTTTTATTTTATCACTACCTACCCTAAAAGCAGGAATAATATATATCACTGAATAAACACCAAACGTCTCGCTAGTCACTGAAACTAAATAATCGCTCTCTTTAATGAGCTGAGTCAGGCCATTTGAAATTTGCTCCAAAACAGTTGACATTGTACCAGTACCCTATAAACAAAGTTCTTAAAAATATAGTTCCTTAGAAGTTTCGTCTTTTTAAGAGGTATTCTAAAACGCAATTTATTGTTTCGATAATAACTAGTAAATTAGCAAAGAAAGAAGGTATTTGAACATGTAATACCACATATATATTCGAGTGAGTGGCCAAAAATGATGTCGCTAGTTTAGAATAGTCCTTAGCCACCTCAGCTAGTAACCGGACTCCGAGATCAAAAACAACATCCATCAACAACTTGTCATCGTCATTTTCAGCAGACATATTCGACAACAACTTAATTCGTAAAATCACTTCCAAAAACATTAAAACTATAGAACTAAAAAAGCACTCATAAAAAAATTCGCATAAAGTCCAAAAAGTGGTAAAATAGTCGATGAATTAAAGTGCAAGAAGATTATCCTCACTTGTTTTAATATAGTCAGAACGAATCAGAAGTTAAATTACCGGATTTTATCATACCTGTCTTAAAGCTAAAATCATCTTTAAGGATGCAGCTCCAGAAGGATCATCTTCAGCTGTCTTTTGCAAAGTCTCACTAACTACTTCCTTTACAGCGTTCCATTGAGCGCCAAAACTCTCTATAAGTGCAGACGCAATAAACTCAGAGGGTTTTTCTAATACTCTTTCTGCCCATCTAAAAAGTTTGATTATCAAAGCAAGTATAATCAGTAAAAATACCTAATAACATTAAGCATTGCATTTACTTATTCAAGAACTGGAAAACAAACCCGTGGCCTTCTCTGAGCCCTGTAAAAATTGATATAATTTCTTTCTGAGCATCAATGAAAAGATCGGGGAGAGAATTAGCGACTTGAAATTCTAATTTGCTCTGGCCTTTTATGAAATGCCTAATTATGGCCAAAAAATCTGAAAGAAGTCTAGAAATAAAAGACCACTGAGAAAAGAGCCAAGAGGAAAATGGCAAATGACAAACTCATTTTATTAATAACTATAATCAAAATGGTGACTAAGCCGTTACCATCCTTCCTTCCAAGTAACTCGTATTTCTGCTTTATTGAAAACAAATTTTCGGCCGGATTATCTGACTGCAAAGCAAGAGCGATTCGAGTAGAGTACCAACTAAGAAAAACGTCCTTCATCCTTTCCAAAAGATCTTTCCTTTCTTTGACCTCCACATACTAAAAAAATCAAAGGTTTCAATAATTTTAGCGTGAAGTGCATATGTCAGAAGAGCCTCGATTAAAGATAAAAAAATATAGAATGATTAATCAGGTTCACGCTAACAAAAATGATATAAATGTTTCCCAAGAACCAATCTGGTTCGTCCTAAAACCATTATAAAATGTTACTTAACAAAGCGAGAATTTTTGAGATTTAGCGCTGCTAAAAAGTAACGATGATTTGTGCCACTATCGTGTTAAAAATGCTTCTAATCAGCATATTTCAATTAAATAATCTGGCCTTCTAAATAAGCAAGGAACAAAAAAAGCTGTTGATTCCACTGATATAAAGTTGGCAAAACAAAAATAAAAACCATTACATCACTACGTCGTTCAACTAATCTATTGAAAAAAATCAATGTTTACAACGATATTTAAAAAGCTCCACGTATTTCTTTCTAAAAAAGTTGACTATCCTAGATACACCATTCAGTAAATGAAATTTTTTATCTTTTAAATATGAAAATTGAAGACCAATGGAGGAAAATCTGTTTATTTTTCTTCTTTGAAATTCAGCTTTTTTAGAAGACAAACTTAAAGCTCTTATCAGAAGTTCATCCAGAGATGAAAAGTTGTCAAATACAGTGTCTGACTGGAGGTAAAGATACAGAAGAAAAGAAAGGTTGCCTTTGAGAAGGTACAGTAAAAGTTGTCAAGTACAGTGTCTAATTGGAGGTAAAGATACAGAAGAAAAGAAAGGTTACTTTTGAGAAGGTACAGTAGGCATCGTTTAACTGAAAAACTACTTCTTCTGGAGGCGGTTCTCCTTCTTCAAGGCTTTCAATTACTTTTATATTTTCGTTCCACGTCCTTCGTGCCTAAACTGCTATGTAATTAGACAATGTTTTTAGCATAATTAAATTACACCTCCAAATAGGTACTATCTTTTATTTCAAAATATCAGTGCACCCTTGGTTTTCCTAAGGGCAAGAAAAACTGAAAACTATTCATCCGCCCTCTCCAAATCTGAAAAACTTGCAGTTCAGCACTCAACCTTTAGTATATTATTATAATTCGGACGTATGAAGCAACATACCAAAATAATGTTTGCTAGTTCAGTAGCACGCCTGTCGGCCTTATCAAAGACTGCTATTGCATCAAATTCTTTAGCAAGCTGTTCTTTCGCTTGTGCTTCAACAACCATCTTCAGCCGATCTCGTAACTCAAAACAAAGCCTGCCACAAGCTTCGAGAACACTCTCCTCCCTAAGAAACACTTATTAACAATGAAGGAAGCATGCGCAGATAAGCATAGTAAAGAAAACTAAAAATTCTTTAGGATGGAAAGATGAGAATGTTAACTTTAACAAAAGACTTTCAGAACAGGTGAGGTCTGCAAACTGAAAGACTTACTCAGTGATCCGGTCAACAGACGCTTTCGTTTCCGCCATTTTCTTTTGCACAGACATAATTTTAGCATCCACAGCTTCTAAGAGTTGCTAAAAAACGATAGTTTTAATCCGACAGACAGATTTTTGATCACCTATTAGTGCTTATTTAATGAAAAATAATTGCAAACAAACCTTAGAACTTTCAGTTCTTGAATTGATCCATACTAGCAGGTCAGAAGTGTTCCATCCATCTGGAAAAGATGGAATTGGAATCTAAAATCCAGCGCAATTAAAATACAGACTTTTGTCTTTCATATGATAGAGTAACAAAAATTCCACTTCATTCAACTACAAGTTTTTTTAAAAATTCTTATCAAATGACGTAGTTTCACCATTCTGTAATTACACCGGTAAAATACACAATTTCAGATGTTCAAAATATGCAAAAGAAAAAGATAATTAACAGGGAAAGTAAAAAAAATTTATAAAAATCACCTCTGACATGGCTGGTGAATACTGCGTAAAACCGGACTCTTTAAAACATAGACGAATAAATCTGAAATAATCCACAGATTGTTGCATTTCAAAATAAACAGCATATATCTCTGATAAAGGGCGTGAACATACACTTCGAAAATATCCCGAAAAATACGAATAAGCTGTATGAAAATAAGTGAACGGTTTCGCTAATTTTCACCATCACTTTAAAAATCTTCAAAAAAAAAGGTGATAGCAAACAATGAATAACTGGTGAAAAAGTGCCGCTAGCAATCTGAAAGACTCCGAAAACCGTCAGCAACTAAATTCGCCTCAAAGACTGATGAAGCTTCCGACAGCCACCTTAATTTGGCACAACAAAACGGATAAATCTTTAGCTGTAAAGAGAATCAAGCCATTTTCTTCTGCCATTTTAGAAATTGACCCATCACTTCGTTCACTAGATGCCAGCTCACTGTTAGCCAGTTAGGCTGAACAACACCATAGGGCTGAACAAAAAAACATTACTGACAACAACTTCACTGCTTGAAGTTCTTCGGCTACATCAGGCTACGATGGCCATAACGACTACCAGTCATTATACATCACAAATTACAGCAAAAGGGTTACAAATTTAACACGCAAATATTGGCTTTCTGCCAGCTGCAATTTTTAAAAATTTTCGTTGCGTTCCTTCAATGGTTTCATTGTGTTAACAAAGGATATCTGATGTTTTCCGCTTTGTATGACGGCAATCAACTACGAGTGAAACGTATTTGTTCCATCAATATGTAACTAACGTGGTCTTGAATCTGAGTTAAATCAGCGGTTTGCACGCTTACAGAAAACAGATAGGTTAACGATGAATGAAACATTGTGGCTAAGTAATACTGAATTTCAGATGATTTCATGAAAACTGTGACTCAATGACAGTAATTATCTGTTGTCAACGAAATTTTGACATTTTTTTTTTTTTCAATGAATACTAGGCATGAATGAAGAAATTTCACTGAGTTGAATCTCGTTAAGGTCAGTTAATAAACTATTGGCTCTTCAAGAATGTCAATGGATCAATCACACTTAATGAGATCAAACAAAAATGAATTAAAATATTATTATTTTTCTACTGTACTCTGGTTCTTACAGAGAAAAAAAAAAATTCTTTTTATTTGTTCCGCAAATGCAGTGCTGAAATAAAAAATTAGAAATGAGATTTTTTTTTTTGCGCTAATCAGTGATTTTAGCACATATAGACTTCTTGGTTAGAAAGCCGTTGGCTTTTAATGCGTACAGGAATAGCCGTGACTTTTGTGAAAGACTAATATCAGAATGAGTATTTGGAAAAGCATATCAGAAAGCTTTTCTCAACTGAAAAACGCTGTTATATATATATATATATATATATATATATA